AGGTAGGCGGCCTTTCCTACCAATCTTACCCCTACAAGTGTCAGTGTTGTTTCACACATTGGCATTGAAGTAGCCAGCAAAATGATGGAATCCCTGGGAAGGGTGTCATCCAACACCCTCCCAAACTCTATACTGTCCTTCAGCCTATAGGCTGAAACAACAGACCTCCTCACCACCCACTGGGGTAAACTCCAACACAAGACTTCTGAGCTGGGGGGAGAGACAATCAGGCCTACTCCCACTCTCCACCTCGGGCCACTCCAAAGTAGAAGAGAATCCAGCCTCTCACAAGGAGGGGAGTTGCAAAGCCCAGGAAATGTCTGGAGAAGAACCTGACTATACTTAGCCCGTATCGCTCCACCTCCAGCACCAGCTCAGGCTCCTTCCCCCAGCATGGTTATATTGCAGGTACCCAGAGCCAGTTTAAGTGCCCATGGATCGGGCTGTCGAGGCCTCCGCCTCTGACTGCTGCCCAATGCTTTCTCACCAGTCCTTCATGGTTACCACTGCATGTGGTGGGCCCACTAGGGGATGGCCTCACATAACTCCTTCAGGCTGTGCCCGGCCAGGTCCCTCAAGGAAGAACCCAACCGTCAGGCGCTTGCTGACGAACCCCGACCTCAGGCCTGGCTCTGCCGTACCAGACGACACCTTACATGCAGCTGATTTTGCAATATTATGGAAGGCCTTGCCTTCAGTCTATTCTTTTTATTCTGGTCCATGACCTTTAGTTTTGTCAGCTAGGCAATGATTTCTGATCAGAGTCCTTGTATGACATTTTTTGAAACAAATTAACTCTAGCTGGTCAAAATGGGCACAGTTGTGTGGTAAGTGGAACTCTCAGTTTACTACAGATTTCCAGGTTAGTAAATGGAAGCTCTTTTTAATATGAACTTATCTGCAGCTACAACAAGCCTGGGTCAGTGGTGGTGTTTTTGGAGTGCTTGTTTCTCTTTAAGAAGAAGAGTTATTAATGCTGTTTGAGGAAAAATGTCCTATTGAGACGTATATGTACTATGAGAGGAATGGCTTTCCCCGATGAACTGCACTGTGATGTCCCACAAAAATGTGAAACACACTAAAATAAAGGATTATAAATTGCAATGCTTATGTGTGCAATACTGCAATTTATATAATATATAGATATTCTATTACACTTGACCTGAAAATCCTGCATGCCAGTTTGCTCATTGGGTGTATATATTTTACAGCTGCCTCCAGACAGTGGTGGGGAAATTGGAGGTGGAGAAAAAGAGAGAAATGAGTCAAGAAATATGGGCTTATTGTTATTAAAATCATAATATTCACCAACAGTGTTGCTGTGACGTTTCCTATTCCTGACATCATAAATTAACCTGTAGGAGAGAATTGGTTTAGTATGTGAGCTAAAAGGTGAGCTACATTTTCAAATTTTCTTTCGTGAACCACATATAAACTAAACGATCTGTCGCTTACGTCGGACCATTCCTAAAGACGTCATTGTGGTGGTGGACCATAACGCTGCTATATAGTAAATATAGTTTGATGGTAGTTTGGTGGAGGCAGCAGTAGCTTTGTGCAGAGGGGTTTGTAGAGAGGATGGCTCCTCTGGCCGTCGCCTGAAAGAGCAGCTCGGGCTCATTATCCTGATGAAATTTGCGCAGATGTGTGAGCTGCCGACAGACTCGGCAGTGACACAAACAGCCAGCTCTGTCCCCTTGAGCCAGTCAGGTGATGAAAACCGGAGAGGCGCGGGGGCTGAGAAACGGCGGCCATTAAGCAAAACAGAAAGAGGTGAGGGATGCTGAAAGGGGGGTGTTTGTGTATGTCAGTCGAAGGGGTAGGTGGGGGCAGTTATATAAAGTAACTCCAATCCACCTTCTTAAAATTCCTGATGAAAATGGAAATGTGCATAAAGACGGCATCTCCTCACGAAGCTCTAATCTGGTCGTATTCAGATGACGAGCGGACTGCCACTTAACGGGGAGGAGATCCACTTTGATCACATGGGTTCCCCCCGGAGGCACCTATCATGATGCCTATTACACCACTTCATTTGCATATGTGGGGCTGAGATCTACCGTGAACGTTCAAAACTGCAGCAAAGCTCAGTGTTACTAGAAAGAAATGACTGGGGAGGAAGAAGGAAAAAAAGACAAAAGCCCTTTAAGACGCTCAGAGTGCAGTAAGAGAAGACATTTTGTCATTCAAAGGTCATAAGTTCAGTAGCAGACCAGTGAAGGATGTTAGAAATCGAGTTAGGGACACCAGAACTAAACAACAGGCTGTTAGGAGAGATAAGTGTGGAAAGGGGGCAACATTTCTTTGTCAGCTGATAAAAATGCGTACTTGCCCACTATACTTTCCCTGATTGAATAAAGCATTTTCCTTTTAAAACCCATGCTCACTTCCTAACTTCCACATCAACAACAGGTGAGCTTTGCTTGTTTCATCCTCCTGCCGACTCAAATTTCTCCCCTCTGCGGAGGCTCTTGATCCTTGTTAGCGAGCGCTGACACCAAGTGAAGTTATTCAGGTATAAACACACCAGGAAAACAAAAAAAAAAGGAAAGAAGCAAACTTGTTGTGTGAAAGAACAGCCTCGTTTGCGTAAACAACATTAACCATTCGCTAAAAGATGTATGGTCTACTTTCTGAAGCTCCACTGGGAATCCATTCATTTGACAACCTGTAGTTGAAACAAAGATATACCACTGTTCTATCTGACAGAAAAAGACTCTCTGAAGGAGATAATTTACAAACTAGTGTTGGTGTCACACCTGGGCCTACTGGGAATAGGGGAACTTTTTTCCACTGTTTATCACAGTAAAAAAGTAAATGCATCATTTAGTAACCTATATTTTAGTTGGTCTGTTCTTACTGAGACCGCTACCTGTTGTCAAAGAGTTTTGCATTTACAGCAGCAGATTAAGCTGATCTGCAGCAGGAATGTATATTTACCAAATATAAATAACAAATGAATAAATAAAGAACCACAAGGAAACCTTAAATTTCACTTCCAAACCTGAGACTTTTGTTTGTGCTTCAGCTTTCGATCAAATTCAGCAACAAGAAATTGTTGTTTCTCTTTTTGTTGCTCTTTGTTTAATTTGATCTATTAATAAATTCTAAGTGTTTAAATCAAAATATGTATTCTTTACTCATAGTTTTACCTTCTGCCAGCATTTTTATTACATAAAACTAATGACACATTGTGACAGCAAAATAAAGCCGCGTCCCCTACAGAATGAACCATAAAATTTTTTAAAAGCATGTGGTGTAGCATTCTGTATCTTTAAGCGCCATTTTAACCATAATCAGAGTTCAAAACAAATGTTCACATTTAATGTATTTTTTTAAAAACCAACATTGCTGGCTCCAGTCTTGCATCTTATTGTAAGAAGCTAACCACAAGTTAGCTTCACATACGTTAGCACAAGAGACAACATTCCAGTGTTGTCACATTAGTGAATTTGTAGCTATATTTGGGGACTTTTTAGACCCCTATAGAAAATTATTTTCTTTACGTATTTAAATAAAAAGGCGATTTCTTTGTTATTGGAGAGTTTAGCGACTTCATCTGAAAGCAGCAATGATTCTACAGCTGACAATCGTTCTGACCTGGATTACAAAGCAGGATATTAATATAATACAAATACAGTTTTGAATCTAGTCTCCTTTATTCTAGAAAACCTGAATTACATTTCGCAAGAGCAGATGAATGATGAAATGAAATCTGTGTTTAGGCCTCATAAGCATCTTTTTCTAAAGTTTTCTCCTGCTCTCCCTAAGAGCTACCTAAGCGAATGAAATTCCCTTCATCAAGCTTTGCTTTGCATGCTCCTTGCATTCCTCCTCAGTGGACATCTTTTAGGTGTTTTTGACAATACGAAAATAAAAAATAAATATAAAAACATGGTCACGGTCACTAACAAAAATTATTTAAAGTGAAATAAAGTCAAAGTATGTCTGAACAAGAACAAAGAATTAAAAAACACACTTATGATCTAATATAACACTGTGGGTGGGGAAGCAAAATCGCCCCAGACTTTAACAGAATTGAGCATCATGCTAACAATGTTGAAAATACAAGGAGCTCTTGCCCCCCCGCTGAAAGCAACAGGCCATTAGTGTTAACCTCAAATCATAAAATAAGCAGATTGGGTGATATTTTTACTCTAAACCTTAACGCCTCACAAACACCCCCGGAAATTGCTATAATAATTGATATATTGGGGACAATACCCAACATTTGAATCAAAGTGGCTTCGACCGATTGGCATCTTTGGCATATTGGACGCTGTACACCTTTTAAACAGAGCTAACAGTGATTTATCTGGCGTATTTTCCTGGTTTTTAACTACTAAATTACACTTCTGCCTTTCTTTAAGCCTCAGTCTGTCTAAGACAGCTGTGGGAGACACAACTAGCAAAAAAACGGCACAGTCAGAGAAGCTCCGGTTTTGAGCTGTGGCTTACCCAAATCATTACAGCCTGAAAATAGATTTAATTCTTAAAAACTTGGAACAAAAAATGTTCCTTTGTAATGTTTATATTCAAGGCTTCTCTGTATTTGGGATGACTGGGAACCCTGGGATGAAGCACAGAAAGGTATTGTTAAAAAATCTAGGATATTATGCTCTGTTCCAAAAATCCAGAAGAAAATACGTGTTTAAAAAAAAATGGGAAAACTACAAATGGAGGTGCAATAATGGTTTAACCTAATGGACAGTTTATGCATTTCTTATCCTTTGTATCAAAGAGGCAGAGCCCACAGAGTAATAGATAAAACTCAATGATAGGGAGGCTGAATAGAGAGAACAAAAAAAATAAAAAGGTGGAGGCTGTGTCTTTGGTGTGCAGAGAATCATTTTCTACACACCGGCATCAATCGGTGCGAATAATTCTCCAAACTTTTTTAAGTCCGACTTTAAATGGCATTACATATGTAGCGAAGCATGAAAAATTTATGCGCTGGAGTTGGGGAAATGTCAAGGGTAATGATCTCCGCAGCAGCTTACCTCCTTAGCTTTCTGTTTCAGTCGAGCTTGCTCTGGGTCTTCTTGCCTGGAGCGACTCTGTGGAGTTAAAAAAAAAAAAAAGGAGGAGGGTGAGGATGGGTGGAGGGGATACAGGTTAACAGCTGGTTTAAGCAGCCCACCTCTCCAATACACAGACACGTTTTGCTACTCATCTGTTGCTGTAGAAGAAAAAAAAAGTGTAAAATGGGAACAGGATACAGAGGTGTCAAGGACATCATATCTGAATACAGAGAAGAGCAATGGAGCACCCCCCTGGGGGGCAGTGGCCTTTAAACCTGCTCCAAATCCAGCCCTAAATAAGCTGCTGCAGGGGGATTCTAATCAAAAGAGGTTATTAAAAAGTCTGCAGGAGCCAGAATACACACACACACACACACACACACACAGGGGAGAGGATGTTGGTGAGTGTTAGTGGCAACGGCTGTCTGTGTGTCACCGTGTGTGAAGCCAGTGTGGCTATCCGTGTGTCCCTGGCGTAACAACACAGCACTTCTATTTTAATCAGCCGCTATGATCTGGGTGAATGTACTTGTCCCTGGAAATCCTTCACGACAGAGCCAAATGTGCATGTACAGATGACCACTGCGGGCAACACAGGCTCATCGTGGCACCAGGGACTAACTGAGGGTTGTTTGTGAATGCAGGCATAAGGTGCATCGTTTCATGTGGCAGAATTAACCACAGTCTGCTCCATGAACATGGGAAATAGAGCAGTTCTTGAAGGGGCATTACCACATCCTGACCTTCTTTAAGCATTTTATTTATACTTTTTTTAGGGTCCTTAATGTGATGACTCAATATCAAATAGTTCTTGACAGTGGGAGGTTAATTACGTGGGTTTTATTCCAAATGTTTTGCAAATAACAAATATATGGTGTTTTTTTTTTTTATTGTTTTAAGCACGTAAGACTAATTACCAAAAGAAAAGGTAAGTTTATATTTAGAGTAAAAAAAAAAACTATATATTAATTCAAGTGCATAAGATCTACTTGTCATATTTTAAAGGCAAAAATTTTCATTCTATTAGCAGATCATCTAATTTATCGGCTCTAATTAAGAGCAAATATAATTTTTTGGGGGAAACGTTTATTAATTATTTGATCCGTTTTTAGAGTGTGTTTGGTAGTTGTGATGTTGGGGCAACATCTGACATGAAGAAGAAGGTTCTTCTAGTTACAACAAAAATGGAGAATCACTGGGAACACGTGCTATTCGCAGTGATACACGGTGCAGGTGGCGTTATGCTGAGGAGATGCTTCTTTTGCAGAGTTCATTGGTAAGAAATGATGAGAGAACAGATGGAGCTTAATAAAGGATAATCATTGTATTAGTAAAAAATAAAATAAACTGTGTTATTTAGCTTTCCACTTAATAATTAAGTGGCAGTTTGTGTTGAGATAGGTTAAAGTTTGTGGTTGCAGTGTGTGGAGTGAATTCTGTTCCATTATTGTTGCAGGCAAAGAACATGGTGTCTAAAAAAGATTTTTCTACTTCAAATTTTAGCCTTAATGTTTTTTTCCCCCTTGTTTTATACATTTACAGATTTTTTATATTTTTATATATTTAATATTTTTTCTCAAATTTTTGTTTTTCAGATGTGCATGTACAGGCAAAGAATATGGTGTGTAAAAAATGTTTTGTTCTTCAAATTTAAGTTTTAATTGTATTTTTTTGCCTTGTTTTATAGATTTACAGATTTTTTATATTTTTATATATTTCATATTTTTTCTCAAATTTTTGTTTTTTTTAGATTGAGTTTAGCAAATTGCATTCTTTTCAATTAGCGTTATCCAGATCACATTCTCTTAACTTCTGGGGGCAGGTCCTATTGGTCTGCATAGACATCAGTAACAGTATTGTAGTGATCAATATGCGCTTCAAGAGCGAGTGTTATTGGGCTTGAAGTGGAGAAAATACGATCTGTTAAAAGATATTTGAAAAGGATGCCATTCATAAAACTCAATCAGAAAAACTATAATTTAAAGAAAGAAAAAATATATAAAAAATACTTGAAACAACAGCAAAGTTGCTCTGAAAGCCATATTTTTTATAGGCTTTTTCTTCAAAATTTCCATTCACAAAATAAGTTGATTTTCTTGCAACAACAATGGAAAAAGATTCTCTTCAATGAGACAAAACGTGGAGCCGTTAACTATGCAAAACCTATATTTGGACAAAGACATCTAAATCTGAGCAAACCTCAGACCATCATAGTCTATATTAATAAAATAGTTTTTTAAACACTCTTCACATTATGTTTATTAAAAACAGCTTCTATCATAATCACTGCCGACTATTAGTGCGTTTCTCCTCCATCCATCTAACCTATCGTTTGGATGAAGATCAGCAACTCCTAAGCCTTCCTGCTAATTGGCTTTACATATATCAGGCAGTGCACGTATTGGTCGATGTCTGAACCAAGACTAATGTGTTTGCCCTCCAGTGGGCCAGAGCATCCCTCAAGTCCTGAGTCATCTTTTAAACGGCCGGCACGGTCGACAGAAGGAAGCCTTACAGTGAGGGAGGAATGTGGAAAGATGACAGTGGAAGGGATTATCACAATGGATTTCTAATTCTGAAGCCCAATGAACGGGTGCTGAAACAGGAGACATGGAGGGAGAGAGGAGTGGGAGGGGACGGTGCAGATGGACTGTTTGCAGAGACCAGTGCTGCCACTGGCGGATTCTGCATCTTATCAGCCAGCTGCCGCAAAGTAGCGTCTAAGTGCTGAGAGAAAGAAAAGGATGCATTATGTTTGTAAAAAATAGGACCCATCCGAACACTTAATATGCGAGAAGAGCACATCTAAAGACTGAAACTATTCTTTCATTGTAAAAACAAGAAAAATTTTGAAAAATTTACAGCCAGGGATTGTTTACTTGAACTAGGCCATTCTCACGCTTGAATAGTCCTTGACATACAGCAGAGGTGTCAAACTGCAGTGCTCTTGAGCCCCTGCTCTAAAACACCTAAATAAAAGGCAAGATTTACTTCCCAGTATTTAAAATATTTGATTTGGGTTTGATGAAGTAAAGAAACATCTAAATGTAGCAGGAGTTTGACACTTCTGATGGGTTTGGTATCATAAATAAATAAAATTTTGTTTTTTGAGTGTGTGTAGTTGTTTTTTAAACGTCTTTATGTTTAACTCTCTTTATCTTCCCATCACCTCTGACCATATTCCCTCTCCCTAAGGAAGAAAAATCAACATCACAGCATGATGCACCGAGCTTCATTGTGGGGGAGGTGTGTTCGAGCGATACGCTCTGTAAGATTATCACTTCTATTAAGTTACATTTTGTACATCCAACCAGAGAATCTCCTTTTGCATGTTTGCTATGTCCTCTATACAGCTTTATGCATAATAAAAGATAGAACCTTCTCTGCATTTCTATCAACAAATGCTTTCTTCTCCACAATTGTCTAATGAGACCAGATTCAGGAAGCTAACAACTGTTCCGTAAAGATTTCTGCAACTCAGAATGACAACTGCACATAATAAGACCTCTGGTTTTGAGATTATAATTTACAATGTCTTACTAAGCTTTAAAAATCAATTTTTGCACTTATTATGATTCCTTTTTTGTTTTTCTAAAAATTAACAATCTAAGATAATCTTTTTATCCTTAGTATATTAATCTCAATACAAAATCAATAAAACTTTGCCTTGATCTATGATTGTAAGACTTGATTAGATGGAAACATTTCTGTTGTGGAGGTGAAGGCCGAGTTAACATGCTCACTATAACTTTCAGATTGATAAATACGGTTAAAAACCCGTCAACATCTTCCTTCCAGATCAAAAATATTCCCTTTTTTTCACAGTTTTTCCAACTGAAAACAAAATGCTTGTAACGTGACAGTATTTGGAAAAGTCTAAAGAGAAGAGAAAATTTGGTGAAAGTGCCGAACACAAATAATCAGCCACAGCAAAAAGTAGCTTCTCTGCCTGAAACATATTACTTGTGTAAACAATTTGGGATGCATGATATAATTGGCCCCCTATTGGTATCGGCCTTAAAACTGAATATCGGACATCGGCCACCCCACCGATATTTAACCCAATATTTGATCAGCTTCTGAGTCTCTAAAGTCTAAAAAAAAAAAATACTACTTCTTCTTCTTTCTCAAAAACTTCTTTTTTACAGACTTAAAAACTTCTAAAGAGGAGGGAAAAAATATTGATACATTAAAATATCCCAATATCTTCATATGCTGATATATTGCCCTTTAAAAACACCATATCAATCTCTTTTACTAATGAAATATTGCTATATGTCATCGTTATGCTACGTTATGCTACGAAATATGTTGATATATTGATGCGGTATCGATCTATTTTACTAACAAAATCTCACAAGAATTTGCAAAATATCACGAGAGTTTGTAACAGAACGATGAAATTTCACGAGATTTTGAAAGTAAAATAGATCGATACCGCGTTTTTAAAAATCTATTTGATATCAGCATATGAAAATATATTTGAGTATATTATTTTTCAAAGTGTCAGAAATGGATAACAAAACTGCTATTTTCAATGACTACTTATTTTTGTCCAGCTTTAACATCGGTATCGATATCGGTTATCGGCTACATGAGTTTTAAAATATCGGCATATCGGATATCGGCCAAAATCCCAATATCGTGCATCCCTATAAACAATCTAATAAAATATTAGAGTGAAAAATGCAGCTAACAGCACAAAATTACACTTAAGTTTTTGGTTTTTGAAAAAGTCTATTTTCTCTTGTTTTGAGAAGTGAGACAATTTGCCAATGGAATAAGATGTTTCATGTATAAAATAAGAGAAAATTGTATTATCTTAATCGAATTCCAAAAAATAAAAATGATCTTATTCTAAGGAGTCAAATAAGGGAATAAAAACTTTTTTAGTGAGCTTGACTTCTTTTTAGATCCATTTTTGCAGTGTATCTGATTTATATTGGTTAAGAAAAGTAATGATATTTTGCAGCCACTTTAACTGCAAGTTTGGTGCTGAAGGGTTTTCGTTTTTTAAACATTAGCAGGTTTAATGCCCACTGAGTTACTTATTACAGATTTTATAACTATATTTGATCCTAAGTAACGCACAGCAACTGTACAGAGGACATGAACACACATGTTGGAAGCAGTTGGTTTTTCCTCCACAACCGAGAGTGGAACAACTTGTATAATCGTTACGCAAAGGGCTGCTCTCCAAACATCTCCTCAAACCAAAACACCATGGCAACAGCAGCCAAAAAGCCACAGATATAGCTCTGGGGTGAAGTCAAACTTTCCTCTGCGATCCATGCAATCATGCAGTTTGAACAGCCTCGAGTGTAGCTCCTCCAAGATGGACCAGGCTTTTTTTTTTTTTGAAGAGTTATTTGCTAATGCTGCTACTAAAAGAGTTTACTACTGTCCAAAAAAAAAAGTGTTTTAGAGTGTTAAATAATGCAGAGCATGGTGCTGACATAGGGATCTAAAAGCTATTGTTTTTAGCGCCCTATTTAAAACACTCCGATTCTGAGAGACACTTTGCATTGATGCAATGCTTTCTTCACAGCTAACCAGCAGAAAATCTATGACTGTTTGAAAAGACATTAAAAACCAGGCAGGTCTTGAGGTAACGTGGTCAAATTTTATCAACAATATAATTTTTTTAATAACCTGCATTGAAGGACTTGGATATAATGATGCAATTAACAAATTAAAATAAGCTTTTAAGAGAATCTGTACGGTGGGACCCTGGTTCCATCAGAAATAATTAAACTACCGTAAATTCTCTAATATTGGCCTGTATTCCAATAGCGGCCGGGTCTCTAATAATGGCCGGTCTCGCTGTCAGAGGAGGTAAATAATGGCCGGTCTCTAATACAGGCCGGGGCTATAAACGTTTTTTCTGGGCATACCTCAACATTATACTTGTGGTAGTAACATACAAGTACCACAGCCCTGCGCAGCTGAACGACAAGCCCTGCTGCTGCCCGTCTGCGCGAGGAAGAGAACAGACACGCAGCAGAACAGGAGGAGCGCGAGTGATGAGGAGATTAAAGGGAGAGATGAAGAGGAGGAGGAAACTGAGGAGGAGAATTAAACAGAATTGGAGGATTTTTTTTTTTTTTTTTTACTTCAAACCAAGCGAGACATGGTAACTGTACTTTTTCAATAAATGAACCTAGTGTTTTATAGGTTCAAATAGACACAAAATCTCATTTTTATTCATTCCACTGGTAGTCTGTTTTGCTCAAATAGCAATAGAGGCCTGTCTCTAATACTGGCCTCTATCCAATAAAGGCCTGGACCGCGATGCACTTGAGTGAAATAAAGGCCCGGGCCTATATTAGAGACTTTACGGTACTTACCTTTACACTAACCTTGCACTGCAGGGCATTTTCCTTTGGATATTATCAGCTTTTTCCGACTGCAGTGAATTTTATACATTTTAAGGAACACGTATGGCTCAATAGGAGACAAACGTGGATAAAACATACAGAACTCATAGTTAGTCTGTATTTTGACAATAAAATTGGTGTTATGGGATGAAAAGTGGTGCAATGAGTAGAACTGCTGCCTTGCAGCAAGCAGGTTCCAGGTTTGATTCCCAGGCCGGGGTCTTTCTTCATGGAGTTTGCATGTTCTCCCTGTACATGCGTTGGTTCTCTCAGGAACAAGTTTACCGTAAGTTTTGTATCTAATTTGCACATGTTCTTCATTTTCCATCAGCTTTTTACTGACTAATTTTTTACTCTCACAGTAATACGGGACAAAGTGCGTTCCTTTTCCACTAATTACGGGACAGGTTCTTCTATTTCTAAATACGGAACAATCCCGCAAGTTGACATGGCTCATTATACTATCACTCATTTAGCTGTAACTTCATACTATTTCACACCCAACTGAAATCTTGTCCTCTTTCCTCTTCCTCTTGACAGTACCTTAACTTCCAAAAACATTGCTTTAGTCATCAATGAGGATTTGTTCCAATATGTGAATCAATTGTCAATGAACTGAAGCGAATCACTAAGTAAAAACCAGGGTGAGAGGGTTGGGAGTGGGACCTCCGGCCTCTGCGACTCACAAAATAATCTCTGTTACCCCCAGCTAATAATGGAATACCTCCAAACTAACGACTAAAGCTGGCTAAAGTTAGCTTCCCCAAGCTCACCTACTGGAAACACAGAGAAATGCGAACAAGGAGCGATTCACCAAATATTAATCAGCAGAAATGATGTGGATTCACAGTATGAATCAATGAGTGAATCCTGTAGGGCTGTGAGGGTGATGTTTCACGAACTCATCGCCTCATACAGGTAATGATCAACCCCTGATTATCCACTTAAGCTAATCATGACCTGGAAATGATTTTATTTTGTTCTCTAAAACTCATGATACATTTTTTTCATCCTTTTTACATCTGAGTCAACTAACTTACAGTTGCAAAAGAATAAAAAAAATGGGTTAAATCGAATCTTAAAAAAGTTTGATCTTTCTTAGCTTCTTTAACTGTTAAAGGACATAATCAGTCTTAATGTTTGATGATTAGCACACCTAATATCACTAAAGCCATGCTTACTGCCTACTTTAAATGTGAAGGAGCAGAAACTGAGTCAAAGCTTTGAAAACGACAAACTAAATGTGACTGAAGCAAAACTTCTCACCAATTTGGACTGTAAAACCAAAACTGTAGCAACAAAAAATTATGGATTTAAGGAACGAATCTTTTGAATAAATCATTTTAATAAACTGAATGAAGCGATTCAATTATATTCAACAGAAATGCTGTTCCCATCCCAAATGCTCTAATGAAATGATTTTTTTTCATCATGAAAGAGAACGTGTAACTACTGCATAGTAGTCCATACATTTTTCTTTTAATCCCATCAGTATTACACCTCTGGCACTGGGATGTGGATTAAAACTTTTAACTTTTTAAAGTTTTATTGCTTGTTGGATGTCTGTGTGTGTGGTGGCTATTGAAGTTCTGACCCCAGCTTCTCCTTAAGGCATCACCAAAAGTCATAAAGTGGCTTTTTTTCAACGATAATCTCAAAGGATGTTTATCTCTGTTGCATATGCTTCAATTTCAACTCGCTTTTTTTTTTCCACGACTCTTTTTTAGCATTAATATGTTTAGATACAGCACCCTGCAAACAGCCTGATTCTTTAACAATTAGCTTTTGCAGCTTCCCATCTTTGAGGATATGTGTGTCAGTGACAGTTAGTCACACCCTATGAATGTAGGCAATAACATTCCTGGGAAAGTGGATTTTGGGCTTTCATTAGCCGTAAGCCAAATTCACAGAAATAAAAAAGAATTAACACTTGAACAATATAACTCTGTGTATGTGATAAACATTTATTACATATGTTTACATTTTGAGCATTTGAGAATCAATGCTTTGAAGGTTCATCAGTTACATGTTTATTATTTATAGTTATTCTTAATGTCTTTACAAGTAAAAACATTAAGAGCTACACATGACAGAAAGAGTTTATTCCTTTCGCCTTGACTAATGATTAATGTGAGTTTGTTTTATCAGGAAATGTTGTTGAGTTTCTTCATAATCCATCAGCTGAGCAAAGGCCCTTTTCTGGAGATGCATCAACCAGGAAATATTGTAGGCATCATTTCACTTTGATTTTGTTCTTCCTATAAACACTAACGTGAAACAGAAAAATGCGCTGCAGGTGCTTTCATAAAGGTGAGCCTTTCAATAGAAAAATAAAAGAAAGAAATCGTAAAATGGTTCTAATCTAACATCAAACGATGCGTCGCTTATCCTTTTACAGATATTTTTTATTCTTACGTATGTTAGTGGATGTGATAACAGATGCAGTTAGGTTTGATGCTTTCAATGAAAATGAAAAAAATCCAATTCTTCACGTTTTAGAACCAGCTGATTGATCTGAGCTGAATTAATAGGTGTGTTTCTTGTGTGTGTTGGCATCAGAGGAAACAGTTTGGATTAGAAAGGGTCGATCTGGCTGTGCTGGATAGGAGTTTTATATCGTACTGATCCCAGCCCCTCCTCCTTGTGTCCAGGGAAGAAGCGCCAGGACAGAGGAGGCCTGAGGCCAGCAGCCTGGGTCACCTCATCCATGGGAGTCACACTCTAATTCATCTGTCAGAGCCAACACAAGAGCAACACACGCACTGACACACACTCTGTCACACACCCGCAAATCAAGACAGCGAGGTGACGATAACTCACTTTAGCGGCTTTCAGAAGGATCTCTCTCTCCTGCTCATCCTTCCTCTGCTTCTCCATCCTCTCCAGCTGCTCGAAGAAGCGGAGCTGCGAGCGAACGTCTGCAGACTGCTCGTAGCATTCGTCGTCCTGGGAAGCAGACGGAGAGAGAACGATAGCAGGGTTACAACGACAAAATAAGAAGCTATGTCTTCAGCTTTGCCAATAAACTTAATCAACATCCTGACAGATGTTAGCAAATCTACACCCAAATATCTACATTCACATCATTTTGGAGTATGTTTTTTAAAGCTTTTCTTTCAAAGAAAGAGATTTCATTTTACTACTGACTTTAATTGTTGCTTTTGTACAAGAAACCCTTTTTTCAAGGGAAAACCTGTAGAATTAAAGGGCAAACAGGTTTGCCTCAAACAACAATTATTGTTTTGCTGCACATTATGTTTTATTTGCGGAGAAAAGAGACGTAGATGCAGACTGTATAGATGCAATCACCTGGGTTTCTTTAGATAGTAACTTTTTTAGCAGTTTAAAAACAGATTTAAGAAAAGTGCTTTGTTTTATAGTTTAGATATGCTAGGATCAGAGAAAGAAAGCAACACAGACAACAAGTTTTCCTCACAGTCTGTCTTACTGAAATATTAATGCTGAAATAGGGTAGTAACCAATGAAGCATGAGAAATATTTTGCTTCTACCATTAACACGCTTCTTCTTCAAAGTTCGTCAGCAGAGACGATGCACATGTACTGAGTCAGAAAACCATTTGGAAATACATTTAAAAGACACCTGATCTAGGTTGTTTTTAGAACAGCTAATCACATCATTTTACACAGAATGTAATGAAATCCAGTCTAATATTAAAGCTTCTTTTAAAGCATAAGAAATAAGTACAAATTTCTTAAAATATGAGTTTTTAGCCTTAAGCTTAGCAGGGTAATAAGGTGATTTGCCAACAGAATGAGTATTTCTGTCTTTAAAATAAGAGGATTAGATATTATGCATTTCAAATAAGATATTACAGGTGTTTTTTGTTTTTATTTTAGAGGTAAATCATCTTATTCCTGCTCAAATCAAGAGAAAACACGGTATTTTAAGAAAAAATGACTTTCTTATACTCCATATTTGCAATGTACCTTTGTTGTGTTTTCACTTTCTAAGCAAATCTGTGTCACATTAGATTAACAACGTTAATTAATTTTACATATTAGCCCAATTAACTTGCTTTAGGTATTTTGTCAAATATTTCAAAAGAAAAAATTCTAAGAAATTAATTAATTAATAAACTGAATTTTGTTAAAAAAGTTGTAGGTATGTAGCTTGATGAAGGCGAACTAACACACCTGTTTTTTCTAGATTAGAACGTCTCAGTTTGGGTATTTTTCTTTATTATTTGTGTAGAAAAAAGCTGCTATTGTTTGAGGAAGAAAAGTAATTAAGTTGAACAGAGCAGCTAAGAGTTAAAAACAACTATAAACTATTTATTTAGCTTCTAAGTTTTTATTTTAATAAAAGTTAAACGTTCATCTCTGGTTGTTGAGCTAATCTAGAGAGCAGATTTAAACCTTTGAACAAGAAGTTTAGGGACCCCTGTTATACTGCTTAAGGCCACTTTATACCTGTTTTCAACTAAAAAATACGAAAAAAACCATCTGAACGCGTTCGGTTAAACAACAGGAACAAATAAAGACGGAGCTGAAATGAAACCCAACCGGTCTGCGCAAATCCGCACTCCTAACCACACAAACTTCTTCTATTTACAGACTCTTTGCTTCACCTCCCATGTGGGAAATAAGAAGGCAAATGTAAAAAACAACTTTTTTAGGTCATCAAAAGTTAATAGGATAATTGCTTCTCTCTCCCTGTGTGGCTGCATGTCTCTGATGCAGCTCTGTTCTCGCGTTGCGCTTCATTTCGATGCCACTCTCCTCTCGTCTTCCGCATATATCCAGTGTTTCCATAAGGGGATGAGAGAAGCTGAGTGGCACACAACACAAAGACACATCAGAGGGGTCTCTTCGCCATCGCCCCCGCCTCTGTCTCTCTCATCCAGCCTCCCTTCTCTTTGTTGCAGAGCTGAGCCTGCACTCTTGCCGTAGCTCCTGCTGAAGCCCGGCTGCTCTTTAAGAGGCCGCCTTGTCTTTTGGTCTTCCTCCATTGCTCCCTCTTTGTTTTCTTTTTTCGCTGATGTCAACAGAGTGGCTTCACAGAGCTCCCTCCCTTCTTCTCTCTCTAGCTAGAGCACACCTCATTTGGAAAACCACAAAAAAGAAGAGAAGAACGAATAGAGAGTAGCTGCGCAAAAACAAGAAGGGGACAACTGTGCCAGTGCTTTCCCTCCCGCCGCCTCGGCATCAAGAAAAACATATTTTCAAAGTTTCCCCCCAGTTCCCCTTGCCATGCAAAGACTTCATCTTGTTGTGGGGATGGCTTCTGCTTTAATGTAGACCAATTAAATGTTGTTATATGGTTACATTTATGGGATGTGTGAGGTAGAGTCGCCCATAATGAGAAAAAGTGTGCAGGTGTACGTAGGCGAGTACTTTTCTCGGGTTTTCAGTGATAGTGTGGAAACTTCCAGCTCTCATGTTTGGTGACAACTTGAGGGCATTTAAAGGAGCTCTTAAACTAAGTTTTGTGGGTTTGTATCAGCTACAAACTCAAATTCTTCATGTGCAGACTTCGCCATATGAAGCTAAATAAGCGGTTCAAAAAGCTCACTGAAGTTTCTGTGCCGTTTTGAAAAAATTCCATCATAATCTAATCTGAGTGTTTACTTTATGTTGTCCAACAAACGGTAGGTCCAAAGCTGCTAACATATAATGCTGTTAAACTTTTTTTTTCTTTTTTCTTCAGCTTACATCAAAACAAATGACTCTTATTTGAAAAAACTAAAGCAAAGCAAATTAGAGTGGAAGAAAAATTACTCATGGTTTGCATATTTATTTGAAGTCCACCTGGCTGCAATTTACAGTAACCTCAATATAAATACTGCTGCTCTGGAAAAACCTCAAAGATCTTCTATTAGAGAAAACTAGTGAAGGCTAAAAAAGATCCATATTAGAGGCTGAATGTCTTAAGATTCAACAAAAAGGAAACTCTGGTCAGATTAGACAAGCCCCGAAAATGGGGAGTGAAAAGCAAAGTAAAGTAAAACTGTAAATCACCATAAGCTCAGCCTCTCCACTGAAGCATGGTGGTAGCAGCATGATGCTGCAGCTATGCTTTCTTCAGCAGGAACAGGATGGTTCTTAAAGACGAAGGATGGAATAACAGCATCTATCGGTTCTATTGAAATATTTTAAGGATGTTCTTACTCTCGTTTTAAGCCTACATGAATTAGAAAAATTTACTTGACTGGATTGTAAATTTAATTTAAGATAGCTAATTGCATAAGCAATATAAATGTATGGCCTAGAGAAAATCCAATCAACTGTCTGAATTTGCTCATATATGATGAACATCTGAAAATCTGAAAATCTTGCCTGAGCAGATTGTTCATATGTTTTGTTCCTGTCTCAGTGAGGTCACAGGTCAAGGTAAAAAAAAATAAAAAATGTAATTTGTTCACAATCATTTATAATCCCTTCATTTCATTTTATTAGGTCTTGCCTCTTCCTTTGAGCTTAGTTTATGATTTCCTCGTGTAGTTTGTTTACGATTAGAGATGCAGGATCTATTTTTTTCCAACCATGATGCTGAGCGTACTGGCCGATGTCCAATACTGATTGGATGCTGCGCTGCATGAAATAACCGTGTACCTCGCCATGTGAGTTAAGGCATCATGCCTGAAACAAACATGGGTAAAAAAAGGTGACAAATTAACACAAATATAAACCATGACGCCACAAAAAAACTTTACAGAAGTTTGAATAAAAATCTACAACAAAAAGGCCGTTTCACCAGATTAGGTTGAGTGCATCAGTTGACATTAAAGCAAAAGCAGAAAAAAAAAAGGTCAACCAGCAAAAATAATAATAAGAAGAGACCAAAAGTTCAGCTGTGGGTGTTTAAAAGAAAAAAAAAAAGAAAGAAATATTCCCAATTATTACTGTTTAACTGGAATGGTGCCATGATGAATTATGTGTTTTACAGCCAAGATAAACAATACTGTAACTTCCTATCATTAGTGACATCTGAGCACACTCCCCTCTGGGTAAGACCATATAATGCTCTGACAGTACCAGTTAGGACGCTAAATGGTGATAACAAAACACAAAACAAAGACAAGGCTGGTTTGGTAATAAAAGGATCACCACCAAAAAAATAAATAAAAAAAATGTGTTTGCCATAAAACCACATATGAGCAGGGAAGGTGAGACCAAAACATGACATGTTTGGATGTAATCTGTGCCTTTTCAGCCTTTTCTGATCTATTTTCCTCTGTTATAATTAAAAGAATGATGAAATTAACAGTAATTTCATATTGAACTAGTTTTTTTTAGTTGACACCACTATAAATAACTGAGTGAGATGGAAAGATGATGTCTCATATAAATTTGCAGACTTGTTTATTAAAAATTAATGGAAATTGTACGTTACAGACTTTTTGATAATGCCAATCATCATAACATCATCAAAACAAACCTGTAAAACATCGTTTTGGAATAAAGCTGGTGATCTATACCCTTATATTGCAACACAACAAACAATCCATGGCACATTAATGTATAAAACAATAAAGAGAGAGGTAATGGCTGCTGTTTGAGGACAGAAAAGGGATATTAATGTGTATGGATAACGTGTTTTACACTCGCGGAAGGAGCGTGATCCAACGTGGACTTCTGGAGAGCGCTGTCTCTGCAGCTGGAGTCATTGTTAGTTACTTTTTGCAGGACACCCACACCGTAGTCACATTAAAGCTGCAAATCTTATTCTATTTTATTGGATTTTATGTGAAAGGATAAAGTAATGCATAGTAGAAAATGAAACCCGTGGGACGGCAGGTCAGAGATAAAGTTATGGAGATGTTTGACGCAGCGTTAGGCTACAAAACATTTCAACTTTTGAGGAATGAGCCATAAATGAGGCAAAGGTAAAGGAGCATGGTCTAATCAGAACTGTCCCATATAGCTTAAAAAACATTTCATGATATAAATCAATATTAATTAATTAATTAATGTTTGAAATAAAGGAAAGGACGAATTATTCTGTAACCTTAAATCAATGTAAATCTAACATTTAACATTTAAAAATCGGTCTGCCCTACCACTAAGCTTGCTTAGCTTGGCCAAAAGAGCTTCAATTCTTTGATCTGCCTACATCCCCCAGAATGCCGTGTAATGCTGGATTTTAATCCAATGAATTAAAGAACATTCTAACAGAATTACCTTAAAATTATGTTGATCTGGTGTTATAATTTATATTGTTATTGTTTTATTGCCCAGCTTTACGTTCATTTGCAAACGTCGTTACATTTCCTGCCTCATTAGACTCAAGCATCTTTTCAGACTTTCGTGTTTCTTAGGTTTTTTCTTATTGTTTCACAATTTCTGTTATGTCTGCCCAGCTCTGATTGGCCTTTTCTTTTTTAGAAATGAATGTTTGGGTTTTTACAATGTTTTCTTTCAAGATATATTTGAGTTGACCTCTAGAATTATTTTCCACAATGGCTTTCTTTGTACGAATAGAATATTAGATCTCTTTTTTATCCATGTATTTTTATTGTATTCTAACTACTTGTCTTGTTCGCCTTACTTTGTTATTTGGTGTGTACAGTGCCCTTCAGATTCTTGTATAAAACTTATTATTATTTTAGACTGTACAACCAACAGGGGCCCTGTTAATACTTTTTCCACAGGTTATTTGTTATAAAATTTGTATTGTATCTTGGAGCATCAGAGTGAAAGTTGCCAAATG